GGTTTGTTTTTTTTTTTTTTTACTGAGTGGAAAATCGACTGAGCTAATACAGCTCCACCTGCAGCTGATGACTGAACTTGTGCCTGAAGCTGAGCGTGCCTGCTGGGGCTCTTCAGGAGCACGTCTGGGATTAGGATATGCTGTTAGGAGCGTATCATCCCTGTGAGCGAAGGCTCCAGCTGCAGGGAGGTCATCACCCCACACACTGGTTCTCTCACAGTTTAAGTTCGCTCCTCCTTTCAAAGGGAGAACAAGAAAACCTGAATGAACACCACTCTATGCAAACAGTAGTGTTTCCTATCATACCTGTTTCTGCTTTCCCAACAGAAGCAAGCCAGCTTGCATGCCAGAAAGCCAGTTCTAGCCTAAACTATTAATAATACCCGCCTAATTACAGAAGCTAGTCTGGGGAACACAAAGGGCAGCATTTGCTGTTGATCATGTGGTAGAGCAAAGTCTACAGCTGCTTTCATCTTGATACGAACAGAGAAGAAACCAAAGTTGAGGCCTCATGTGCAGCTTCAGGGCCAAGTTTACAGTACAGGCAAGGCTGGGGCTCTCAAGGCATTACCTACAGTGGTTCTGCCAAGAGGAGAGGGAACGGATGGGATCTGAAAACAGCAGAACATCAACGCAACTTTTTGAAGAAGGAATTTTAACCTTTATTCAGAGGTAAGTAAGGCTGCTATTTTCAGCAGCAAATGCAGCCAGGATCTAGAACAAAAATGAACTCTCAAACAGAGATGGACAACAGCAGCGTACGGTCTTGTTGTGCGATATCACAGCATGAGCCTGTCTGTGTCAATCAAGGATAATTCTCTTCACCCCCTGACTAGACACGTACACCTAAGCTGCCTTTCCTTCCTTTACCAGAAGAGGATTTAAAATCTAGACCTCTTCTGTACAGTAACAACACATGCAAACATGAAAGACTGGATGCTCCCAGCTTTCTTCCTCCCCCCGGTATCAACCCAAACCAAAAGTCTCAGGGAACATGTGCTTCCTGCTTTACCAGGCCATGGGACAGAAAAAGAGAATTTAGAAGCCTGTCCTCTGCTTGCAGCAAGAGAAGACGAATGAGACAACAAAATGCCATGTTCTGGAAAAAAAAAAAATTAAATCTGGGCTTCATCCTGAAGGAAACATTTGGCCATGTCACCGTTCTGCAGTCTGCAACACAATTCTGAGTCAGAAATGGGCACGCGATGACTCTGCTCCCGAGCAAGCGCTGCTGCTGCAGCACGGGGTTATGCAACCACATCCACCAGTGCTGCCAGCTCCAAAGCTTGGTTTTCTAAAATGAAGCCCTCACTGCCTCCCCTGCGCCTCCCTGGTATTCAAAGGATACCTGGAATTTCTACAGACTATTCAGAATCAGAGTATCTGGAAAGCACAAGCGTGTTGGCTGTTTACTAACACCTCAGCAGCTACCACCATGCCTAAAATTAAGTGGCACTCAAGAACCAGGGGTTGTGTATTTCAGCCTAGAGAAGCCCTGCCGGTATTACAGAAGTCTTGCTTCACTGAAGTGTGAGCTTCCTTCCTCAGAGAAACCTGCTGAAATGCTTGAACCAACTATGGGCAACAACAAAACTGGGAAGAATCATTTAATATCTGCATAAACAGAAAACCAAACTGACCTTCAGGTGATATTCTCTTGGATAAGACTGCATATTGTACAGTGATGCTACGTGAGTTTTCATTAAGATCTGCTGAAATAAATGAAGAAATACAGTACAATTCCGGAACAAGCTGGAGCATAGAATTTGTAAAAATCTTCCAAAAGGAGATGATCGATTCTTCATAATCGGAAAGCCATCTACTTAAAAAAAACACACAAAAAAAGCAGCAAGTAAATTTTGCATGTACACACTTAAACTGAAATAAAAGAAACATCAGCAGTTTTGATACCCCAGAAAACCACTATAAGCTATAATAATTTTGTATGTACTGCAGAGGCGCACAGAAGAGTGAGGTTTCCTGGCATCAAGAACCATATGAAAGGACTACAATAAAATAAAATATATAATCTTTGTGCAAGGAATCTTATCTGGTGATCTTTTTTTAATTAATTCAACTAATTCTAAATTAAGTTATCAAATCATCATTTAGCAGTACATAGACTCTATGCATTTCTTTGTGTTTCTCAAAGCACTAATTTTAGCTATGCTTTCATAAGACCCCTCTCCATTGGTCTGTTCTTAAATTTTTGCTGTGCAGATTACTAATGTCACAGAAAGCTTCCAAGCATGGACTTTTGGTACTGATAAAATTTAAGGAAACAGCCATGTTTAATGCTGCACTGATTAACTTTTATAGTATCACAATTCCTGTTAACTGCTGCCTACCATTAAGTTTAGGAAACAAAAAGGTTAAGCGTGCTGTTCAGGTAAATGTGACAGCTGCTCACTAATGAGAATAAAAGGACTTTCCAGTCCAGAAACTAACTTCCCTGGTGAGGGGTCTGGAGCCCAAGGCTGATGGGGAGTGGCTGGAGGACACCTGGGGGTGTTCAGCCTGGAGGAGGCTGAGGGGAGACCTTATCGCTCCCTACAACTGCCTCACAGAAAGAGGGAGCCAGGGTGGTTGGGCTCTGCTCCCAGATGGGCGATGGGACGAGGGGAAATGGCCTCAAGTTGTGCCAGGGGAGGTTTAGGTTGGATAATTGGGAAAAATTCCTTCCCCAAAAGGGTTGTCAAGCGCTGGAATGGGCTGGCCAGGGAAGGGGTCGAGTCCCCATCCCTGCAGGAATTTAAAAGCTGGGCAGACACAGTGCTGAGGGACAGGGTTTGGAGGTGAACAGGTACAGGTGGACTCAATCTTAAAGGTCTTTTCCAACCAAAGAATTCTATGATTCCCATTTCTAATTACTTCCTTCAAAATTAACAAATATACAACATCTATTAACATTCAGATGTCCAACTCTGGGCTAAGTCAGCCAAAGAAAAAAGCAAGATTATATCACACTTTAAAGCTGAATGTAAGTTGTTATACATTAAATACTATGTAATACAGCTTGAGATGAAAGTATTACTGTACAACTCTTGATGTTTTATCAGCTTGCAAGAACGTAAGGCTCCAAGGTGGTATTTCTCAGTGGACACTTACCCTTCAGGAAAGTCTGAAGCTATCTACACACCAGAATTAGTACAGATGAGCTTTGAGCAGAATCATCGTTTCTTAAACATATTACATACTTGTTTCTTACTATGGGAAGATGAGAGTTCTTTTTCCCCAATTCTTACTAATGACTTGGCTATTTCACAGCTCCCTCATGATGAAAGTAAAAATTGTTATAGGTTATCATCTTTTTAGCAAAGCAACAGGAAAAAAAAATACTATCATAGGAATGATTATGACTGTAAAGCCCACACACCATTTAAAAAAAAAAAAATAAAAAAAAAAAATCACTTGACAAGGACAGCACAACACATTTGAGGCTGTTAAAACCTTACTAACTGAAAACACTTTCAAGTGTTAAGATTTTCTTTTTTTTTTTTTTTTAATGAGTTTATGTCCGTATCTGCAGTCCTGCAGAAGTCAAGTCAGTAGATTATAGGGAAGACTTTTCTTTTTTAAATTTTATTTTTATTCATAGAGGCATCTATAAAAGCTCACAGGGCAGTCAAATGCCAAACTAACAAACTTACATTACACCAAGCCTTTCAAAAGGATCTCGGCCAAACATGCATATTGGCTGAGATTCTTTCACACTCTTCATCGCTATGGGAGGTATAATCTTACGCTGTATGTAAAATCCTATCCTATGCCTCTGTGTATTTAACACAATCTACAGTCAGTCTTTCTGAAGGACTTTTCTAATCACTGATATTATTTCCCAGAACAAGGACTGAGATGAATGACCTGTAAGCATCTATTTGTATATTTAATGCATCTGTAGAAGCTTTTCTAGCCCAGGTTTCTGCTTCCTCTTACTGAGCAGAATCGCTCTACTTCTACTACCACCACTTTTGAAGTGGTAATGAACACCGCTTTTGCTCAAGTTAAGGCTGTGTTATGGTTTACTCGTACACTACAGTAACACCTGCATAGGCATCTGACCAGGAGAATTTAGTCTGATAAGCAACATTCAATGGGTGGGAAAGATACTTGGATATGTAAAACTATCGGCATAAATACGCATCTTGGAAGAGACAGTATCAATTAAACACAAACTGACTCCTTGACATCCTTGAAATGGGAGCTTTGAGACCAAAATAAGAGCATTAAGAATTTGGTGCCGTTTTGTTAAGAAACACTACACAAGAATAAACATCATACAGATTGTGTTTGTGGGCAAAAGTGAAGCTGGAGCACTGCTAAGAACATACAGGACAGTGCAGGAAACCTGGTAGTGGCACTGCTAGCAGCCCTAAAGCAAGCAGAATTCCAAGGTTAGTAGGAGACTGCAACAAGTGCCAACTCAAGGATGTCTCCTGCAGGAGAATATATATACACATCCCTGGAATTCTGGGCTGTGTTTTTAGCATGTTCAGCTTGCTGCAGCTTCCAGTGCTGTGTCATCATGCAAGACGTCCTTTAACATGAGAAAACTAGAAAACATACAGTCTTACTCTGTTAGATTTCTAGTCCAGAACTGAATCTCATGCATCAGATAGAAATCATCAGTTTTTAAGCGCAAACTGAACGTATGCTGGGATTTCTTTATGAAATGCTCTACAAGGACTGGCCATTAGGTGTCACCTTTGTACAGCATATGTATGACAACATTCTCCATTAAGTTCACCAATAAAACAGTTTGCGTAATAAAACGCCCAGTATACCAAGTTTTATAGAGTGCATCGAGCTAGCGAGCCAGCCTGTTTACATATGTTCTGCAAAACCGCTAACAATCCTTAGAAACTATTGTTTCAGTGGATTCATTCAGGTACTTCTTGCAGAGCTTTATACTAAGCTAGTTACTAATCTAGTCAGGCTACACAGCTACACAAATTCATGTGTTTTTATTTCAATATATTTCTGTAGGCTAGAACACTCACTTATTTACATCGCTTTTCCCACCCACAACTGGGCATTGATTTCCTTAGAATGACAGAGGTCCTTTCCACAATAGAATTGATGGACAAGCCACTCAGGATACCTTTGTTGTTTTTCCTCACCTCCAGGAGAGCATCCACAATTTTGTCTCTATACAAAGAAAAGAACGAACTGTTTATTTCACATTTCAAGCAACACATTTTGCACTTAGTTACCACAGATATTGGATCCATTACAAATCAGGGCAGAAATTAAATTCAAATACTCTCACCTGCTAGCCTCTGGATGAATTTCTTGAAGTTTCTTCATTAATTTGCTAAAGCTGGTCAAGTTCAATGTATTAGGAGAAATAAAGGCATCATATGAATTGGTGGAGAAAGGAGCAGATGTTTTCTGCAGGAAATTTTCTCCAGTATCCTAGAATTGCATCAAAATAAGCAAAAAGTGAACAGGTTAAGTATTGTACAAGTAATACAACATATCTTCACTATATAATAAACA